AGGCAGCATGTGGATGTGAACACTTGTTCTGGAACATCTCAAGCCCTTTAAGAAGCTCTGATAGTTTTGCTCATCACTGAATCTCCTGCACACAGCACTGTCTAAACTACAAGAGATAGTCGATTAATATTTGCTGTTTCTAGACACTGGCCAGGGCAAGTTTCATCTTTAACTACCTGTTTCTACACTACAATTTTCTATGTTGGAGTTCAAGATTTAGCCAAAAGGGAATGAAAATCACAAGGGAATGAAAAACCAAAAGGTTCAGTTCCCAGGTAATTTTCTTGTCTTTTAACTCTGGTGTTGTTCTATGTCTGTATCTCTCTGAGAGGCAGTAGTGCATAGTGGTTTAAAGTGCAGCCTCCAGCCTCAAGGTGCATGGAACCTGGATCCCAGCTTCACTAGATGATTATTTAGGTAAGTTATTTAATGTTTCGGTGCTTCAGTTTCCTCATGTCTTAAATGGAAATAGTATTAGTACTAACTTCATAGAACCTTTATGTAAGTGAGCTTAAAACAATGCCTGGTACATAGGTATTCAATAAATGCTGTCTATTATTAAAAGCACTTACATTTTTTTGGTTGAAAAATTCACTTAAGTTTTCCAAGTTACACCTTAATGGTTTACTTAGAACAGCTAATCTTTATCTGGCTAATGCTGAATGCTTTCATTAGAATAACATCATCATCATCATTAACAACTCACACTTATACAGTGATTCAAGTGTGCTCTGGCATAGTTCTACATGATACTTTGTAGTTATTAACTCCTTTAATTCTCACAACAACACTTTGTCCCCCCCCCCCCCCCCCCCCATTTTACAGATGCAAAAACAGAGGCACAGAGACATTAAGTTATTTGCCTAAGGTTATTTTGCTAGAAATGGTAGAACCAGAATTTGAATATAAGTCTGGTTCTAATGTTTACACTCATTAATTTAGTTATACTGCCTCAAAAGAATGCAATATGTGAATACAGATATTTCCAATATGATAATAACACAGGTTTATACCTCAAAGATTAAAATAATTATTTTAGGGGTTCATGATCTTCTATGTCAAGATACCAGAGTCAAGGACCCTTCAGGATGAAGTTCTAGTTCTTCCAATTTCTAGTTTTGTGATCTTCACGGAAAGATTAAGGTCTCAGATATAAGCCTGGGATAAATAATTCCTGCCCTACTTTTTACAAAGTTTTATTTGGGAAATAAAATTGAATAAGATCAAACAAACAAAATGTCATTTTAGAAAAAAGTTATATATTTAAAAAATTAAGCTAGTGAGATAACAGATGAGGTTTTGCTTTGCAAATTGCAAGGCCTGCAAATAGCTTTTGAAAAGTTCTGTTCAAAAGTCTTAAAAAATAGTCTTAACAGGCTCTCACCTAGACTTCTGAAATCCATCTGGAATTTATGCTACACAAACCATCATCTGATCATCTTGCCTAAAAACAAGTTATTCTTTCTTGAAAAACATTTTGGAGCAACCTAATATCTACTTACACTAGTAGAATTAGATAAAGTTGTTAGTCCTTGGATGTGAATCTGTAAACTACAGAGATATGAACCATTGCCAAACACAACTGAACAATAAAACAGTGCTGGAACAGGTGTAGACCCATGGTTTAGGCTTAGCTCTGAAAACAAGTAATCTTGGAGAAGTAATTGAATAGCTCTTTGGAGTATAGTTTCTTATAGGTAACACCTTATGTATACATGTATCCATCTAGTTATAGAGACATTTATTGAACACTGAGCATACAGTCCCTTCAGTTCTGAGATTCTATTGCTCAAATTCCATTGCCCATTGTTGCCCTACAAAAGCCCAATCCTTACTTGCTACTTCCCTAACTCATACTGTTTGATTCACACGGTAAATCTCCTATATATGCCAACCTCAGCAGTCAAATGCCCTCTCACCTTTAAAGGTTCACCTATAAGGCCGAGTCTAAGAAACCTGCCCTAATCCCTGAATGAGATGGTTTTGCTTCCATTTTTAAACTTCTGCAACATTTTGCAGGTTTTTTCCCTCTCTCTAATACACTTCTGCCTGGTTTGATTTTCCAGATACGAATTCTATTCTCCTCAGGGATGCTAGAGGGTAAGCTGCTTCTGAGCAAGGCCTGTGATTGTCTCCCGGTCGGTCCAGCAGGAGCCAGCCCAGCGCCTATGGAGACACATGCTCCCACCGGAAGCAAGCGACATTAGAGGGTTAGAGCTTACTGTTGCCAACTATCTTGACATAAACGAAGGTAAAGAGTCAAGGCCCATACAGATCGCGTGCTGTCCTCTGACATGGTGCGTCCAGCAACCCTCCTAGGATGGGCACAATGCGGGGGAACTTGCACTGATCTTTGAAAACAATTTTGTTTATTGATTTTAGAGAAGGGGATGATGAGAGAGAGAGAAACACTGATTTGTTGAACCACTTATTTATGCACTTATTGGTTGATTTTTTTTACGGGCTCTGACCAAGGATTGAACACGCAAACTTGATGTACTGGGACAATGCTCTAACCAACTCAGCTACTCAGCCAGTGTTGCACCAATCCTACAACAGAAACAATCATGATGACTAGTGATGATAAACTGTTATTAATACTTTATAACAAGACAACACTCATGAATATGGTAGCCATATGAACATTTTACCTGAAAACTGCAATTTCATGTGATTCAATCTAATATTCTGTTAATTTATGCGTTACCTGTCTTCCTTCCCCACACTCCCCAGGAACGAGTCCTGGTGAGGGCAGGCGTGTTTGTACATTTTGTTCACTGTTGTATCTCCAGTGCCTGGGACATAGTGACCAGGCAAATATTTGCTGAATTAATGAACCTTGAGAGATTGTTGGAGGTTCTAGCAGGGGAGCGCAGCTACTTGTATACCCTTGACCGCAGAACGGTACTCTCCTCTGGGGGGAAGGTCATCTTCTTCGACCAAGTGCGCAGCTTTGGGAGGGACGCACATGGATCGGTTGAGGGGGACACCCACCTAGCCAGCCAGATCAGCCGAATCAACCCTGGCGATCAATGGGGTGACAGAGGTTGCAGCCAGATCACCCTCACATCCTATTTGCTGAGTCAATGAATGAACTCACTGAACACAATTTGTCTTACACTCCACTATGTGGCTGATACTTTACAGCCCTGTTGCTTCCTCATAACATCCCGCTCACTGCTGCTCTTCTTCAGATGGGGACACAGTGGCTTGGTGAGGTCAAGCAACTTGCCTAATACCACACTCTGAGCGAATGCTTTATGCTAGGCCATTACACTTATGCTATAAAAGTTGCTCAGATTCGGGCTATCTTTCCTTAATCGACTAGACCAAATATAGATTGTATTGGAAATGATGAGAAAGGAACTGCAGAATACTACAAAGAGAGAGGGTATGAGGGGAGGGAGAAAGGAGAGAAAGAAAGACACAGGCAATGGGTTTGGGGAGGGCTCTTATTCTGGGTGACATGCAGTATGAAACAACATGTAAACATTATCCTCAGTCCTTCAGGTTGTCTGCCTGACTGTGGGCTCTTCAATGGCCTTGACACATGGAGCCCCGTCACTGGTGTTGCTTTCTCAGGAACAGGGGTGAACGATCAGGAACGGGGTGGATGATCAAGACCAGGGTGAATGATGGATGGCTTTTGCTTGCTGCCTACAGAGGAGCCTCTTTGGGACTACCAGACTCTTCCAGCAAGCGAGAGCATGTTCTCACCCTTTTTACCATTTCCTCTGTGGATGAAATTAGGGGGCCCTTCCTTACAAAAAAACAAAAACAAAAACAAAAGACAAAGCAAAACAAACCCCACCAAACAACCCACAAAAAATAGTGCTGTTGCTTTAAAAGATTTTCCCTTGACCAGTCTATGGAGCTATATTGCCAAGAGGAACAAGTTAATAGTATTTGAAATGAAGGAGCTCTGAGTTTGCAATTTGTTGATGTTGTTCATTCCCCTTCAGTTCAAACACACAGTTTGTCTTTCAGAAAAGGAACAGTGTGACCTCAGAACATCTTGTTCAAGAACATTGGTCATAACCTGCGAGCCCCAGTCTTCTCCAGGCTGGGGTTCTCAGGTCCCACGTGGGGTTTGTCCACTATAATTTCCACTCTTCCTGAAACACCCCTTCCCTTCAGCGTGAGAGACCAGTTCACCTTCTAGAACATGGAATCGACACCAGTCCCAATATATCTTCTAAAAGTTAAAAGAAGACACATGTATGGTTTCTCAAATTCCCTAAAGTAAAATGAACAACTCTGTGCTGCCATAAAACCAGGGTGACCCTCCTAAGTGATCAATTCTTCGAGATTGGTAAGACATTTTGAAACACAGTGAGAAAAAGCCTGCATTTCTTTCTAGAACTTGAAGTCTAACCCTGGGAGTGCCAAGCTGCCAAACACAAGGGCAGGGTATGAGCAAAAGCACGGGGGTCAGAGCAAATGGGACCCATCCCAGCGAGTGGCCTATGTTAGTTAACATCGCTAACCCTCAGTTTCCTCATGTGTAAAGAAAAGTATCTTCACCTATATTACAAGGGTCAGAAGATGCCTGGTACACAATAAACACTAAATAAAATAGCTAATGTGAGGATACATAAGGAGGAAGAGTTCTCTAAAACTTCCTCTCTCCTAATACTCTAGCCCCCGGATGAGTTAAGCATATTTTCCTATGAATCGCTGGAATAAATTTAACATCTCTTTTTATGCCTCTAGAATTAATTCAGCATAGTCCTAGCCTGAAAGATACCCAATATTTAAAAACGTTTATAAGAGAGATTGCTTCTTTAGATCCGGACAGCATAATTCTAGTGTGAAGAAAGCAGGAGAATAAATATTCTTTGGAATGAATGAGTCAGTCACTATATAGAATAGCTCTCTGTCTCAGAGATTAAGATTCCCAGAGAAGCAAATACAATAGTTGATTTTTTCCTAAAGTGGCACAAACACAAATAATACATCCCTAGAAAGAACACTGGATGAACACCACCCAGGATTCTTACCAGTTTGGAGCTTTCTCGTTCAGGAAAGTGTTTAGTACCAACTTCGAGACTACTGTTTTCCTCACTACTAACAGGCTCGGGGCCACTCTGATCCTAGAAGACATTAAAAAGAAAATGGCAAAGATGTCATTCTTCACTCACAGTGACCTGAACTACACAGATGCTCAATCATAGTTGCACATTTTATTACTGCAGTGGATCTTGCTTTCTCTCCAGAAGCCATTCCTACTTTCTTTCCAACAGAAGGGCTTTTTTTTTAAATTTCCAGGTGCATATCTATCTCTACTGCTTACAGATATGCCTTAGAAAAAGCTGATCCCCGCTTCCTGTTCCAAGAGGCCTTAAGGTTAATCCCACTTATTTTGCCAATGATTTTATCAGTAATAGGTCTATGATTCAGTTCTAGTCAATGAGACACAAAGAGAGGTTTGCTAGCGACTTCCTGAAAAGTCCTTCCTTGGTCTTTTAAAAAAATCCTCACCCAAGGATACTTTTCCATTTATCTACAGAGAGAGAGAGAGAGAGACATCGATTGGTTGCCTCCCACACAACCCTGGGAACTGGAACACAACCAAGATACATACGTGCCCTTGACCAGAATCGAACCTGAGACTCTTTGCTCTGTGGGCTGATGTTCTAACTGCTGAGCCAAACCGGCCAGGGAGCTTCCTTGATCTTAAAAGAATCACAAGAAGTCCCCATACATTCTCATAAAAACAAGAAAGCATGAAGCTCAAAATGTCATGGCCAGCTATCCCACAGACAAGAGGAAACCAGTCTTGGCATGTAGCTGATATTGTGAATGACAACAAAGAGACGGGAAGAACTGGTTCCCTGATGGGAAGAACTGGGCCACTGGATCAAGCAAACAGAGAGCCCAGCTAATACATTTCCTTCTTGTTTACTCACGAAGAGTTAGCTATTTATTCCCTCCAGGCAAAACTTCCTGAGATATGTTTATTTTGTGCACAATACTTAGCTTTGAGATAAGAGTTTGGATTTATCTTGTTTATTTCTGAAATTCGGGTACCTACGCACCCTGCCTGGCACATGGAAACACTTGGCAAATGCTAGTTGAACCAATGAATGAATTGAGTACTTGTTTCCTGGATGATTTTTTCTGCAGACTACTAAAAATATTTATTTAATATAAATGAGACATCTGGTAATAATAAGACCCATTAAAATTCCAAAACACATTAGGGATCTCCTCAATTGAATTATGACATTAAATGTTATCGTTAATTAACTAGAAGTTTCTTACTTTCTAAGAGCACATAAGGGAGGAAGAATGAGGATAATAAATGAAGAATCTACTTGTGTTTATCTAGATTTTTATTTTAAAACATCATCATCCTGGGATTACTGCAAATTTGAATGGGATTGTTTGAGAAAATAGTTCTGAGTTTGGGACATTCTACTTCACTTATAACTTAAGAAATGCAAATTAAAGCAGATACAGCATTCTTTCATCTATCAAATGGACAAGAGAATAGAAGAGAACATTCAGTATTGATGTAGAAAAACAGGAATTTTAATGCGCTATTGAAAGACAGCAAATTAGGGTAATCCTTTCCTATATAATAGATATAGATGGAAAATATCTGTAAGCATATAGATAAATTTTTAAAAAATCCTTACTTGAATATATTTTTCCATTGATTTTTAGATAGAGTGGAAAGGATCAAGAAAGGGAGGGAGGAGGAGGGAGGGAGAGAGGGAAACATTGATATGAGAGAGAGACACATTGATTGGTTGCCTCCTACACAACCTCGACCAGAGCCAGGATCAAACCTGCAACCCAGGTGTGTGCCCATGACTGGGCATTAAACCCGAGATCCTTTGGCCCACGGGCTGATACTCAAATCACTGGGCCAAACCAGCCAGGGCTAGAACAAATTTTTTTATTTATTAAAAAAATTTTTTTTCTTTATTAATTTGTTTTAAAGAGAGAGGAAGGGAGAGGTAGAGAGAGCTAGAAATGAAAGAGAACATCGATTAGCCGCCTCCTGCATGCCACCCACTGGGTATTTGGCCTACAACCTGGGCATGTGCCCTGACTGGGAATCAAACCGGTGACCTCTTGATGCACGGGTCAATGCTCAACCACTGAACCACACCAGCTGGGCTAGAACAAATTTTTTTTAAATTGCTTACTTCTGAGGAGTAGGATTAGGGATTGGGAAATTTTGTATTTGTTAGCTCTTAACTTCCATATTACTGCCCTAAATCTCTCATTCCAAGAAACCAAAACCCATCACTCCAGTCAGGAGAAACAGAATGATGGAACCACCCTAACCCACCCAAAACTGCAACTGGTCGCTCGACAAGAAAAACAAGTTTCAGGAGACCTCAGCCCCCGACCAATCAAAGACGACCATCCCCCCAGCACTGAGTTTAAAAATCCCTAGTCTGTACAAGCCAGTTGCTACTCTCTTCTTAGAGGTAGTCTGGCAGGCTAATTCCCAATAAACCTGCACTTCTGGAGACCCTGCACCGCCTCGTTCCACCTCGTTCTTACAGTATTAGTTATTTCTATACTTTTTTATTATAGAAGAAACAATAGGCATTATTGCATGTTAAAAAAAATAAAAATAAAGGAGAGCTACGAGAAATATCTAAAAAAAAAAAAAAAAAAAAAAAAATCCAAGGAAGAAAGTAGCATGGACATTAGCATTGGTCAGATCTGGATTCAGGTCTTAACTTTGTTACTTGGAAGTATATCATTTTCTGGAAATTACTTTCAAATCCCAGTACTTGTTTTTAAGGTACAAATAAAAATACCAAATTAAAAATACTACCCTATTAGGTTGCCTTGAAGATGAACATATGAACATGTAAAAGTTCTATTAGCATAACACTAGGTACAGTCGATCTTTTTTTCTAGCTTTTGTTTGAGACAGGTTCTTGATCCATGTTCTGTTTCATGTGGTCTCCTTAACAACCTTATCTGAGTATGAGAAAGAAAGCATTTAAATAAATGAGAGGAATCTTTACTTTTATATTTCTCAGTAATATATTTTCTTGGTTTTGGAAAATTAATACCACATATATTTATATATGGTAGTGGAGAAAATAGCTGTTTGATGCTTCAACTTAGAAAATTTAAGAAAACATTGGCAAAGCAGTCTAGGTTGCAAATGCTCTATGTATTTATTTAATGCAGTATCTATCTATCTATCTATTTATTTACCTTTTTCTTTTTATTATTTATTTATTTGTGTGAGTGTGTGTATGTTTTCTAATGCAGTATCTTTTTTAATAAATATGTTTTTATTGATTTTGGAGAGAGGAAGGGAGAGGGAGAGAGAGAAACATGGATCAGCTGCCTCCTGTAGGCTCCAGCCTATATCACAGGCATGTGCCCTGACTGGGAATCGAACCGGTGACCTCTTTGTGTGTGGTTTGATGCTCAACCACTGAGCCACACCGGCCGGGCATGTCTGATTTATTTTTAAATTCATCTTTCGTCCATCTAGTTTCGAAGAACATTTTAACTGTGCCATGAGCCCCTTCTAAATCTTTTCTTGTTTTCAATCACCCGTTTAGTTTGAGATGGTTCCATACAGGGGCTTAAAATCAAAATATAGATGGAGAGGAGAGTCAGGTAAAAAGGGAGTTGGAATTGAGAGAGGTTAGCAATAAAGCATTTAGTTTCCTAGGAGAGCTGAAGTTTATAAAAGAGTTTTCATATTTTAATGAGGCACAGAACAAAACAATGTAAGTTCTATTCTGAGAACAGAATGGTTCATATGTGTTAAGAAGTCTTCAAAATACCCTGCTGACCAGGAGCTTAGAGAACAGGAGTCAGTCCAAGATGGGAAGGGGAAAATAGGTCAGCTAGCATGATTTCTAAAGCACAATTGTATCACAGTGGTGTGAAGACCATCTGGCTGATGGATGGTGGCCCATTGACACCCAAGATGATTCAGCTAATCCTCATGGCTGTGTGTTCCTTTTCTCTCTTGCTGATCTTCAAACCACCTGTCCAAAGCTGCCTGTTCAGCCTTGGCTGCTCAAGGAGAATGACCTTCCCACATGAAGACCATGGTCACTAGATTCCATGATAAATTATGCTTTATAGATGAATGAAAACAAAAAGCAAGGCTCATGATTATACATTTAGCACAGCTTTTACCCGCCCCCTAAATAAATAAATAAATAAATAAATAAATAAATAAATAAATAAATAAAATCAGTGAGAAATGATGTTTAATCCCCACTGAGAAGTCTTCTGTAAATATTCAGAGAACTCCCTCCCCTGGGCTCCTCCAAAATCTTTTACATTAAGCAATGATAAATTTTTATTTTTAACACTACTTTATTTTTTCATACCCATTATTTGTCTAGAGCTTTCTCCAACGAGACAGTGAGAACCTTGATGGCAGGAATTTATGTTTAATTTGAGAGTAGGCTATCAATAAAAGTTGAGTTAGTTAAGGAAGTTATTCACGGACAGGGAAAACACTTCAGATCAGATAAGTGTTCCATAGTATTGTTCCCTACATTCTGCCCTCATTTAAAACAAGCATATATATTAGTATATATAACTGTTTTCCTTTCACTTTAAGATTTTACTAAGCAAAATAAATTAAAACACACACATAACACAAAAAATCCCAGCAACTATACATCCCTGATATAATTGAAAGTTCTATTTTAAAAAAGATAAAACATGTGTTGGTTTAAATTTTGTCATGCCCATATTTTCTAAATCCATTGCTCTCTTAAAAAATCCACAAAATGATTTATAAATCGCATTGCCAGCCTAAGTTCACAAATATTTCTTTCTGCAAAGTCATGTTTACTAGATGTGACAAATTGAATTTCTTTCTTCTACCCCGAATCAGAAGAATACTTTCTAGGCTACTCAGAATTTCAGAAAGGCAGGGCACAATTAAGATAAAATGGAAATTATGCTAATAACACTTCCTAGGTAATCAACCTCTCCATTTTTTATCAGGCCTGCTTCATCTCACTTACTATTTGAAAAAAACCACAACTTCTGAGAAAAAAGGAAAAAAAAATGAAGGTTTTTGCTTCTATAAAGGTATTCTAAAAGGTCCAGTCTGCTTTGTCAAAGAACGGAATAA